GAATTCTACTTAAGGGTTGTAATTAGGAAGGAAGAAGAAAAGCTATAGAAGTAGCAGACGGAAGAAAACATGGGATGATTATTTCTTTGACATATCTTCTTGTAGTGTAACATAAGCATGTATAGGTTTTAAACTACTAATTAAATTGCATGCACACATTGACATAATAGGAATACAGCTGCATAACCAAAGCAGACCTACAATTACCAGCCATATCCAGTGAAACCAAGAAAACCAGTTAGGCACTCTAGGCATTTGTGAAAACTTATCAATGATATGATGGATATTGTCTAACTGAATTTGAATAGTTTGAGAAAAATCAGACATATTAAAACAACACATTCCTGGGAACTGTTCACATCCCATATGTTCTTTTAACAGTAGATAGTCTATAGTCGCAAGATTTTGGAGCGCTGCAACTTGCACTTCTCCTAATTCTTGGTTGAGTTCCGATAGTATAGATCCAGTCAAATTTGTTGTTTTATTGTATGCACAGGCCAGTTTAGATATCTCTTGTCTGGCTTTTTTTACCCAGTATTATTTTACAATTCTATGTTGTTGCATGTTATCAATAGTTTCTCCTTTTTATTGCTGAGTAGTACTCCATTGGATGGAACTATCACAAATGGTTATCTGTTGATGCCAGTCGGGATTTCATCATATCATTGTTCAGAATAGTGAAAAATGAAGAGCAATTGAAATGTCAAACAGTAAATCATGCCACATCCGTATTATGGAATTGGAATCAAGGTTTGGGGAGTTTATTTAATAACTCACTATCTTTGTGTTCTCATCCAGTTTCATGATTCTAAATTCTTCTCATCTGGCAACCCACAAATTTATACCTGAAATCCAATTGCTTAAAAAATCCAGACTCAGACATTCAATTTGCTGTTCACTCTTTCTACTTGGAGAGATATATATAAGTATATAATCAGTATTTGAAATTTAATATTTGAAATTAATACATATTATGTAATCAAAATTTGATATCAAAATTAAACTTCTGATCTATCTACAAAGCATCTTCTCCCCACATCCTTATCATCTCAATTAATGGAAATTCTAGCTCGATCTTTCCATATGTTCAGGTCTAAATCCTTGGAGTCATTCTTGACTCTCTTTTCACTTATCTCCCACATTGAATACATGAGAAATTCTGTGGGGGGGCAGATTCCAAACAAGCACACTTGTGCAGCATCTCAGTAAACTTTGTCATCTAGTGGGCCATTGTTGTGCCTTCTCTAATAAAGTCTGGCTCTCAGTCTGAGGGGAAGGGGACTCTTTTAGGTTTGCCTTGTCTCAGCCCTAGAGTTTGTGGCTGCTTTCTCTATATGCTATCCTTACATTCTTTGGAGTTCTTTTTATTGCTTAGTAGCAAAACCTCTATTACTCCAATTTGATGTGCTAACTGGCTGGGTCATGGTGCCCAGATATTTCATCAAACGTTATTCTGGACATTTCTGTGGAGATACTTTTTGAATGCGATTAACATCTACATTGGTCGACTCTGAGTAAAGCAGATTACCCTCCATAATGTGGGTGGGCCTCGTCCAATCAGTTGAAGATCTTAATAGACCATAGATTGACCTCCTCTGAGCAAGAAGTTCTGCCAGCAAACTGCTTTTGGACTTCCACTACAACTCTCCCCGAGTGTCCAGTCTGTCAGTTTATTGATTTTGGATTTATCAAACCTTATAATTACATAAACCAAAAACCTCACTCAGTCCCTCTCCCACATACACCCCGTTGGTTCTGTGTCTCTGGAGAATTCTAGTACCTAGTTCTTTATTGTGCTGCGAGATTTCTGTCTCTTGATTGGACCCTGACAAACATACCCTGTTCTCTGAATTCTGATCCGTATGTGCAACTGCCTACTCAGCTTCTTTCCCTGCATGTCTGACAACCATTCTAAATTTACGTCTGGAAGTAAGGCCTCGATGTTGCACTTGAAGATTTGTTTCTTACAACCTTCCCAATCTCAGCTAAAGGCAACCCCATTTTCAGTGAGGCCTTCCCTGCCTAACCCACCACTCATCACTGCAGTTCACTTACAAGCAGCCACACCGTACATGCAGTCCTCTTCTTTGGTAGTGTCCTATTACCTAATTCCTGTTACTTCTCATGTTTACGATGTATTTACCTTCATTAGGATACAGATTCTGCGAGAGCAGGGATTTGATGTATGTTTAAGAAATACTTTCCCTAGTTCATCAGTACATTCTGTATTTTCTTCTAAAAATTTTGTTTTTCCTTTTACATTTAGGTTGATAAGCCTAATTTACATTGGGTTGATAATCTATTTTTCCGTATGGTATGAGGTAGAAAGTTCAGTTTTTCCCTTGTTTTAGCCTCTTCTTGATAACCAGTTGCCCAGCAGGCTGCATTTTAAACTATGGTTTGGGTTTTCTCTTGGTACCTTGTGAAGTCACTTGCCCTGTGAACCACTCAGTATTAAGATTCAGTAATAATGAATACTAATAGTAATGAAACAAAGTATCAACCCCACAGTTTATTTGTAAAGAACAAAGCATGAAAAGTCATATTTAAATGTACTCCAAAACCTGAAAAACCCACATCAATTTCTCTGATATGTATGTTAAAGTGCTTGATATCACAATACTTTTAAAATTTTATATTGTGTTCAGATGGGGGGGGGTGAAATCCAATTCTAATGCGGTTTGTTAACAGTACAAAGAAAAAGATAATACAATTTAAATGCAGAAATGCTCATTTTTTAAAAAGATACACAGGGTACATTGACACATGGTTCAAGTGTAACATGGAGGATTTTTTCTGTGTTTAACACCCTCGTGTGACTGACAACTTCTTACACACCCCTCTATTGTCAACAAGCCTGGTGTCTGAAATAAAGACCGGAGCCGCATGCAAATACATTCAGGTGTTTGAATCAAGTGTGATTCCTCCTACGGGCCCCAAGGAGACCCTGCATTCTTGCGAACGAGGGGAACTTCTTTGATGATTTTTTTCCACTGTGTTATGAATTGCTCAATGCGATAGATTTCTGGAGCTAGTCCTTACTTTTTCCTCAGAGGATGATCAGCTTTAGTAGGATCGGGGAGGATGAGGTTTTCCTTGGACCAATCAGCCTCCATCAGTACCCTCTAGAAAAGCTTGGAAATCGGTTGGATTCGAGATTTATAAGTGCATTTACATAGGAGTAGGGGAACTGGTTTTTTATTCGTTTCTGTCTCCTTTTAACCTAAATGGTAATGTGATAGACACTTAATGTAAAAAACAGGGACTTGGAAATAGGATTCATGTTACAAAAGTAGAGAAGAGCTCAAGACTCCCCTCTCAACCAGTGAGGGTGCGTTAATACTGAGAGTAGCTTAGGTTCAGACTGTCCTCTGAACATGGTGAAAATGACAGGCTAGCTTCTGTAAACCTCACAGAGAAAATACAATTCTCAAAATGAAAACCTACTGAGAAATCACAATTCTTAGCAGAAAGAAGATACTTCACTATTAAGAGCTAAAGTCTCAATGCTGTCAAATAAATATTTCCCTGGGGATCTGAGGTCCTTGTCTGTCGCCTCATGTTTCAAAATAGCTTAGAGGTGTCAACATATACTACACACAACCTGTTACGTACAGTCTCTACATCCTTTTCACTTCTATTTACATACAACAGTGCCTTATTGTCAGAAAAGAAAACAGAAGCAATGGTGTATTTCCCCTATACCATTCATATAGTGACATAAGTTCATTAAAACAATGTTTAGAAAAGCTATGTTAAAGTAAATACCACAGGGTTACAAAAGGTACAGAAATGTGTGAAACATTTAAAACAAATTTGAGAGTGAAACTTTAAACTTTTTCAAGTTTTAGGATTCTCGTGTCAAATTCTTGCTCCCTCCACCTCCGCAGCGGCAAAGATGATGGGGAGGGTTGGGAGGCCTGACTTTTGCTTTCGCAGCCTGTTTTTCCCCATCCAGAACCCCATTTCACACACCTCTGTGTTGGGCCTCATTTTTAAGGTTCTGATGAGCGCAACCAGGGCACAGCTTTAGGGTCTCACACACAATACTAACATTGATGTCACACCATGTGTCACAAAGATCAGTAGTTTCAGGACATTTGAAAAACACTGTGAATATTTGTTTCAAGAGGTACTATTTTTGGCAATTTCATTTCAGTGATTTTTTCTTAGGTGATTATGTGAAAATACTAATTATAGTTCCAGGCATTACTTCTGGGGAAAAATGTCAAATATAAGATTGATTTTCATTTAATTTTGAGCAATATACTAACTTGAAAAATTAACAGAGCAGAAAGGATACCTCTGAATGAGTGTGTATTTTCCAGGTCAGTCTGGAACGCTACATACATTCTATCCTAAGGATTTTGTTTCTGTCTTGCTAGAAATATTTCGGTTTGGCTCCAAGACAGAAGCCATGTACGTAAGAACTGCCTTTATTTCTTTAGAAGGGTGTTTCTTTCATGACCCCAAACTCTCCTTAAGCATCCTTTATGCTCATCAGCTTGGATCCTAAGAACTTTGTTATTTCCAAATATTAAATTTCTTCTGAAAGACCAAGATTTACCATCCCTGGCAATATTCTAAAACATGGGCTGTAGGCCATTCAAGCAGCTGACAAGGAGGCCCCCAACGGGCTAAGAATACTGGCTTATCACTGGAAGAAAGAAGTATATGGGCTCCCAAGGTGGCCACTTTAAAGGGCCCACAGTCCTAGAGGAATTCAGTTGTGGCTGCGGTTCCTGCTTTGGAAATCGGTCCTTTCACTGCTATGGTCATACTACGCGAAGTGGGATGGAATTTCAGGCAGAACTCTTGGGGTATGACTTTTTAAAGCAAAGGTTTTATTCACGGGTCCCAAATCCAATTTTGCTCCCAGTTTTTATGACAGATGTAATTCTCAGTAACTTGAGAACAATTTGTCAAAATGAATATTGATCCTTATAAATGATTTTCACAAGTGAATATTAATACTTCCTGCCTGTGCAGGTGGATGAATAAAGATCCAAAGGCAGACTGGTAATACGAATGCCAGATGGGAGTGGAGTATTCAATTCCTCTGCCCTGTAAGCCTTCCCATCTATAGAACGAGAAGGCTGGACCGGAGGACTCACTGCCAGCATGCGAGTCTGTCATCTCTGGGTGTCCGGAATGTGCCAGAGGGTGGCCTTATGGAAAAGGTGATACGGACAAAACCCTAGATCGAATCCTTCTACAGTTTCTGGTCCCTGGAGCACACACAGGACAGGCCTGGTGTCAGACGGGACGCCTCCAGGAAGAGACCTCCCCCGTCCCTGGGAGGGCGGCATCGCTGCACACGCGTCAGCCCCGGCAAACAAATCTGTCTACCCGCATCACCCAGCACCGGCTTTAAACCCTTCCCATGGGTTTCTCACTGCTGCCTGCGATCCCCCCTTCCTCTAGTACCATGCTGCTCATGGAAAGGGGGTGTGCCTCGGCTGCCCTGGCTGAACACGGTGTTTGATGAAGGGGAGAGGCACTTGTTTCCTTAGTTTCGTCCTCCAGGAAATAAGGGCGACTACGCTGCTGGCCAAAGCCCAGGACCCTCAGATCGCACAGGGTCCGGGGAGGCCATGGCCTTGCTCAGCCTCGACGGGGAATCCAATCTGGAGCTCTGCGGAGGCAGGTTCCCTGCTAACAATGAGCAAATGCCTCAATAGGCTTGCAGGGCCTACGTAACATGAAGACTTAACGTAACTAGCTCACACACATTGATTTTAGCTTCTGAATAAAATACCAAACTGGGAAGTCGCTCCCGACGGGCGGCCTTTCAGCGCTGCGGCCTCTGCTCTGCCCCCCACTCTGCCTGTCTGGGCTGTACTGCTTTTACCTTCTCGGGCCGCTTGTTTTAACATTATTGCCCCTTCTTACAAAGGAACAGAAAGCTTGCCCTGAAGCCCCCAGAAAGGGTTCATTCTTTCTCTATCCTTCTGTTATCTGCATTATCATGGTCAACAAACACTTTCACAAAAACATTCCAAGCCGCACTGAGCCTCCTCCTCTGAGACATTCCTCCCACTTCCTGCGGGGGGGGGGGCGACGGGGGGCGGCCAAACCAACAAAGCCGGGCCTGTGGTCGCCTGCGGAGGTGGGGGGCCGCTGCGGGGCTTCGACAGCCCGGGCAGTAGCACAGGCCCAACCGGCTGTTCGCAGTTCTGAGGGCTGTGAAATCCGCATCTCCCCACAGCACCTCAAGTAACAAGAATAAAAATGCCAAGAATGAAGCTAGTCTAGGCTAATCTTTCCAAAGTGTAAAGAAGCTGTAATCCCACAATTTACCACACTTCTCAGGCCTTTGTGTGTTCCCTTTCCAGTTCAGCCAAGCTCCTGGGGTCCAGTATTTAAAATATTTTAATTACATCTTCATCTCGTGCCGACGGAAATGTGTTTCCAAAAGCCTGGAAAAGTGGCTCAGTTCAAACATATGAAACCATTTGGGACTGAAAGATACAAGTGAGGACTGTCCCCTACAGCAGGTAAAGCTGTTTACATTCACGATACGGAGGGTCAGACACGAGGATGCATGGCCACCACACACAGCGCACTGGAGGTTCCCCCGTGGTACCTGGAGGGAAAAAGCCCGACTGGGCGGCATTGTTACATTTTCATATTTACTGGCTTTTTCTAGTCAGCACCTTTTCCCCCCACTGTCCCAGCTCCTAATGCTTTTAAGCTACTTATTTTAAGTCACAGAAATATTCAATCTAAGAAAAGTATCTTATTAGAGTCATATAATTTCTTAAAGATAGCATATTTACACACATCTAACACATGAAAATACTCTATTTTATACTAAATTTCAGGTTCAAATGAACTACAATACAGCATTTTGCCTTGTCTGTAGCGTGAGGATTGTTCAAATTGGGGGGGTCCACCGCGCTGCCCCCCGCAGTGACTCACTGCCTTGTCAGACAAGTCCGACCTGGTCCCCACGGCTGGGGAGGGTTCAGGAGCTCGGCGTCTGGCCCGACGGTTTCTAGCCAACTGGGTCACACGTCCACGCCTTTGACGAGTGACCCCTCCAAGACGATGCTGAAGTCCTGCATGGTCTGCAGAATGCGGATGAGGGAGTTGACGGTCCTGCGGTCCCGCAGGAGGGCGCTGTCCTCGTACATTCGGGTAATGGCCGGACACTCGGCTAACAAGGGGATCCACTGCGGCAGCAGGCGGTCCCTGCAGACAAACGGACGAGCAGAGCCCTGAGCGCGGCGTGGACGGACGGGGCTGCCCGGCGGGAAGGTGCGGGCCGGGGGGGCCAGAGCCAGCCTAGCGCCGGGGAACCCGAGTCCGCAGGTGGGGTACTTACTGGTTGGAAAGCCCCAGGACTGAGACAGTGCGGGCTAAAGGGAAAATCTATCACCTTCTGAAAGCTGGCCCGGGTAAGCTGGCCAGAAGGGTCACATTAAAGAGATTCTCTGTTCTCATTTTGCCACTTTTAACAGGCAGAATGTCATTTTGTATTTCTTTTTTACAGGGATGTTGTTCAGACATTTGTGCAAGGCATGGATGGCCAAGTGTGTGGACCTTTTGGGAAGAAAGACTATTAACTAGTAGGGATTAGCTTTTTTTAAAAAAAATGTATACAACAAGGTAAGGAACAAAACCAAAGCAGAAAAACATTAAATAGATTTATAAACCAAAAGAGGGGGTACATTGGTCTAGTAAGTCAGAGCAGTAAATACATAAAAGGAGATAAGGATCATGTTCAAAAGGAACTTTAAAAGCACAGCTGAAATTGGGCCCCTTTTACTTAGAAGAAATACAGAACTACTTCTGTAAACTAGTTCGTTTCAGGGGTCAAAATTACAGTCATCGGTGTTTCCTGATTAAACTCTGACATTAGTTACCCACCACTGAGTACCTGAGGCTCCTTAGTGAGCAGCTCTTGTCGCCTTTAAGACAAGAGCGGCCACACAGGACCATCCTGGACCTCTCCTTGGGGCTCTAGGGCCTTAGAAGAAAACAAATATTGCACAAATAACTTTAAAAAATAAATCTTCTAAAGGTCTGTGTGTTTCATTTCTGACAACTGAGAGCTGTTTTTTAATTAGTGGACTGTATAGCTCCTATGTCTCTTTAAAAAAATTAAGGGGTATGAAATTCTTTTTTAAAGAGAAGACAATATAGCAAGAATTATTTATATAGTAAGAATTCCACAATGGTATTCAATTTAAAGCAAATGGTGGTGTATATACACTATACAAGCTTTACATAATAAACATACATGTGTGGCTGCATATAATTATCCACCAACCTAACTACTACCTATATGCCTACCTTGGGGGCCGGCAGAGTGCAATGGTGGGGAGGCTGGGCTCTGGAGTGAGACTGGGTGTGAATCTTGGCTTTCCCTTTTTCTAGCTGTGTGTGATCCTGGGCAAGTTCAACTTACGTGTGCCTCATCCATCTTCTCATCTACGCAGTGGGGGTATCAGTCGCTACTTCACAAGTTGGTGGTGAAGTGACAGGATTAAATGAGATAATATAAATAAAGTACTTAGCATAGTGCCAACACCTAAGTACCCAATAAATAGTAGTCTAATAAAACCTGGAATGAAAGAAACCCACAGGAGAGCTCTGAAGGGGCATGATCTGACGTAACCCCTTCTGGACACTTATTCAACACATAATGAAGACAGGGAATTCGGGAGCTGGCTTCATACCGTGTGCCGAGGCAAACCAGAATCTGGAATTTGCCGTCCTTCCCAATGTTCCTAGGTGCAGTGTTAATAGCATTTACATAGTGGCGGAAGGTTTTGCAGGGTGGTCTCTGAATAACGACATCATCTTCGTTGTCTAGAATCTGGTCAGTGGTTTCAAAATAAGCAACCGCTTTCTCTGGGAAAGGAAGTCAAAATCATATCACATACACATCAATAGTTCAGACACAGAAAGATAAATCAATTCAGGCCGGAAACACTAGAGATGCTCTGCAGAATCATTGCTTTATTGTTGGTTTCACAATGAACGCTAGAGGTCCATGTATCTATCGTGATGGAACGTTATGCTCCCAGGAGTTTATTTTCTGAGGTAGACTGCATTCTAGAAGGCTGGAAAGTTTATTCAGAGTATCTTCAAGAGATGGAAACTGGCGGAAAAGAATAAAATGGACTGCTCTGTTAAGACTGGAAGTTTCTGGGAGTAAGTAGCAAAGACAGTAGCACTGAGATGGTGCCCTCTGTTCTAGTTACAGAATGGCTGGCTAACACTTGGCAACAAAATCCTTGAGACGGAGCTGATTCAGTAAATCTGAGGAAGAGATGTGTACACACAGATCAGAAACAGGGGCAGTAAGATTCTAAGCATTCCAAAAGAAAAAAATAATCACTCCTGGGGGCCTACCTGTCAGCTTTCCTTTCTTTACCTAACAATTCTAAGCTGGGTAAAATCAACTACTTCAACTAGGCCTTATTTACAAAACAAAATGATCAATCATCCCTTTATAGAAACTGGGAATTCTAGAAGGACTGCATACCAAAACGAAGATTACAGAGCTCGGCAAGCTAGAGCCGCCCACTGCAGCAGGCCTCTGGTGATGGGGAGGTTCCCCAACAAGCTCCAATCTGGTAGTTATTAGTAGGGCTGGTGGGACTAAGAAATGAATTTTAAATTAAATCAATTTAAATTTAAACAGCCACGTGTGGCGAGTGGTCACCCTATTGGACAGCATGATTCAGCCATGTTACATGATGTCACCCCTTAGCACCCAGCCTTCTGATGACTCCCCATTTCATTCAGGATGAGAACAGTCCTTCCGATGGCCAGAAAGGCCCTGCACGCCGAGGCCTGGCAGGAAGCACTCCTCTTCCCCAGCATCTTCCTATTCTGCCTCCCTCTTCTCCCTCCCACTGGTTGCCTGTTACCCCATCCAAGAGCCAACCCACCCTCCCACCCAGGGGCCTCTGCCCTGGCCGTCCTCAGCCCGGAGTGCCCTTCTCCCAGGCAGGCCCAGGGCTCACTTCCTCAAAGGCTTTGCTCAAATGTCCCCGGGTCAGCAAAGCCTCCACCCCGTGTGAGAGGGCTCCCCACCCATTTCCTACCCCTCACCAACCACCCTCTTCTGACACAGTGGGTGGACTACGTACTCATGTTTTTGCAAATTGTTTGCCCTCCTGCCCGCACCGAATTAAGTTTGTTCTCCCACCAGAATGTAAGTTTGTCAACCATAGGAATTTTCGTGTTTTGTTTACTTACATATTGATGCATATTGTGAGCATCTAGAAGCATTTGGAATATTTGTGGATACTATAAATATTTGCTGATTGAATGAAAAGCAAGAACAGTGCTTGATATTTATTTTTAAAAACACTCCATGGACACTAACCCTTTTTCATGCAAGTTCCTGGGTCTTTGAGTTTTCTAAGCAACGTTTCAATGACCTTGCAATGACATACATCTGCCTTCATTTACCTATGAAGTCCCAGATGAAGACATTCTTGTGAAAGATCCGGGCAGATTTGAACCCATGGTGGAAGACTTGCTCAAGTGCAGCGACCAGGCCGTTTTCTCCGCACAGCAACACCGTGAGGCTTCCTCTCTGTGGAGCGTGATACACAGGGCCAAAGAATAAGCTGGGCTCCTCTGTGTTTAAGAGAAACACTAGAAAACAAGGGCTGGGGCAGCTAAGAAGCATGTTTTTGCTGCTATTATAAAAATCATGCCTGAAAATGAAAGCACCTTCTAGTACCTCATGTATCATGTACAGAAGTGGCTTTAACATCGTCCTCTATGAAGTTTCCTACCCTGTCATACCTCTTTTTCAGGTTTGTGAAAATGTTTCACAATGTTGTTCACAGCTTCTCCAATTCCTTCTTGGATCTGTCCAGCATTGGGCTCTGAAGAGAAAGGACAGTGGTTGAAGTCTCGTGCACTGGAAACAAACGAGACACTGCAGGATGTCAACTGTGCCCACCAAGCTCATCAGAGCAGGCTGGCCGGGCAGGGGCCCCGGGAAACCTGGCTCGGGCCAGCCTGGCAAAGGGGGGAAGCACTCTGGCACAATGGACAAAGAATTCAAGCATCTTCCTAGATGTCAATCCCAGCCTCACCGCTTTCACTGTACAACCTTGGTCAAATGTCAAGCTTCCTCTGAGTCTTCATTTCTCAACCCAATACAAGGACAATACACACCTCACGGGTCACTGGGAAGAGTGTATGAGATACGAGGTGCCAATCACCGGTCACAGAGTGCTGCCAAGTGCCTAGTCCTGAAGAGTGAGGTGGGAAAGACCCCCAATATCATTCCTCGGGTACCCCGGCACCACGTGCCTCTACAGCCGGCCCTTAGTGGGCATCGACCGAGGCTTCTGAAGCTCTGAATGGCTCACCCGGAATCTGTGTTTCTATTGTGTTTAAAGGGAAGATGCCAGGGGCCTGGGGGCACCCTGCCTTAAGCCCAGAGCTGCTTCCATTTCGGGCTCGTCGGCGTGTGTGCGCCGCCTCACCCTCCCAGTCGGCCCCTGTTCGTCTGAGCCCTGTTCCTGGGGCAGAGCTGTGGGCTGCCTGCAGGGGTTTGGAACTGCCTTTGCCTCCCAAACCTCAAGAATAGTTAAAAAAATAAGGAAAAAATAAAAAAAGGAGAAAATGGGATAAACAACTTTCACCCAGGGATAGAAGTCTGTGAACAACAGAAAAATTAAATATTTGGTATTTTCTTGTAGTCATTAACTATTACATCTAATTTACATCCCACACTATAAAGGACAAACTATACATTATATTATTTAAGAATCTCTGAATTCGTATGTTGGACAAATTCTCAGACAAAACATTTTTTATGTGAAACTCCAGTAAGTTTTTTCTACATCAATGCAGAAAAATTGTTCAACGGGAACCCTTAGGACTGATGGGCTCTGGTCTCCTCAGCTCCTACTAATTTTTTTACTTTTTGCCTTTCTCTGATTAATTTCTCTTTTAAACATGAAGATTTGCTTTGAAAGCTTTATTCATTCTAAAGGAGTGTTGGATAGGGATTAATAATATCTACGGAAATTGCTTGGTCAGTAAACTACAGACTTGTTGAGTCTCCATTATTTCATGTATGGGTTATTGTCCTTTCTTCAAACAAAACTACTTCACTGATAAACTTCTGTAATTTCTTACTAAATCATCTGCCTCTGTATTGGTTTTCTGTGGCTCCCGTAACAGAGTGTCACAAACTTGGTGACTCAAAACAACAGAAATTTATTCTCTGAAGGCCAGAAGTTGGGGAAATCAGCACTACTGGGCAGAAATCACGGTGTGGGCGGCTGCACTCTCTCTGGGGCTCCGGGGCACATCTGCCCCTCCGTGCTGCTGGCAGCCGCAGGCACTCCTGGGCATGGGGCTGCATTCGCCCCGTTTCTGCCCCCATCTTTATGCAGTCTTCTCTCTGTGCGTCTCTCATGGCTTCCTGCCTCCCTCGTGTAAGCACACACGCGCTTGCATTTAGGGCCCACCTAACGTGGGGTATTCTCCCCACCTCAGTATCTTTATCACATTTGCAAAGATCCTTCTTCCATACAAAGGGACAGTTACAGATTCGAGGGATTGGGGTCTGATATCCTCAGGAGACGTTGTTCGGCCCACTGAAGCCCACGCGAGGGTAAATTAACATGTTTGTACCTGTAAATATGGCATGTGCACAGAGTATCCGCCCAAGAACTCTCCCCTTTATTTTGTTTTATCAGAAGGGAGCTGTGGGGTGGAGAGAGGAACGTTCACAATTCCCCTTAACAGAGGGCTTTCTGAGAGGATCATAGTGATTCACTGTAATATGTATCTGTCCTTATTCCTCCTTGGTTACAGGCAAACTATTATACATAATCATATTTCCATAGCTTGATTAAAACAGAGCACACAGTTTTATTGGACTTAAACGTCTAAATTCGCCAGGCCTTTAATTATTTGTTGGTGTCTTGCCTGGTTTTTTTCCCTTCTTCACCCTCCCTGCCTTTTAAGGTCCCTTCATCCAGATCAACTTTCCTCAGCTTTCTTTTTCCTTTTCTCAACACAATTCACTCATGCAACGGTTTTATGTGAAACGACCACAGGGCGTTTACACACTTTGGAGACACCCTGGAAAATACAAAGTCCACGGCTTACTGGCGCTCTTCCCTGTCGGTGAGGTGACGCTCAGCCTCCGCGCCGACGTGGGTGACTTTTGCTGGGGGGGCGTCCGGCACTGTTTCACGAGACCCTCGTCCACCGCTGATGTCATCAACTCCCCAATAAGGATTCTCTCCAGGCTTCCGTCATCGATGCCTTTCCCCAGCCACCGCCCACATGGGAACCTGGGACAACAGGAGAAACCTCTGAATCACTCGTGTTTTACTGGTTTTAATCAGAACTGTTAAGATGGCACCATGGGTGGAAGCCCGTCATTTTAGTGCGTGTGGGTTTTTTTTCCCCTGTTTTATTACAGAAGACCTCAAACATATAAAACGGCAAAAAGAATAGTATAATAGCTATCCATATTTTCACCTAGACAACATTTTGCCATCCACTTCATTTTAATTTTTCGTTGAAGTATTTTAAAGTTAATTACACACATCAGGACATATCACCCTTGAAAATACTTTAGGATGAAATATCTGAAAAGCAGTTGTTCACTCTTCTATAGCCATGAATTGCTATCACATTAAACCTAATTAAAACAATTCTTTTAGTATTTTCTCATACCTAGTCTATATTACAGTTCTGTGGTTGGTTTTTACAAGAATATTTTTAAATGGAAACTAAATCACAAGAGAAAAGAGGAGCGCAGTGCTCCCAAAGAGGGGTGCTGGCTGTAACCTGGGGAGGCCAAAGGTCCTTTCCTCTCACGGAAATTATTTTCGGCTTCTTTCTTTTGTATCAGAGTTACAACAATCTTTTCCAACACTTGTGGACTAAGCATGAGCAGCAAACACAAACAGTTTTTTTAAAGTAATTTTTTGGGCAACTCTGTATTCTGCAAACAAAGCCACCCAAAAATCAAATCTAAAATTCAGAAGGCAGCAGGAAAACCCTAGAAAGAAAATACCTCTTAAACCTTTTCATGTGTAAAGAGTCTCAAAGAATCCTGAGCGGTCAAGGACACTCACTTACCGGTATGTATGTCCTGTGATTTCATTTCTGACCATGACACAGTCCACGAGCCACTTGGCCAACAGGCCCGAGTTATCGTGACCAATCTGAACAGTGGTCAGCTTCCCCAGGTTCTGGCACTGCGGGGACAGGACCACAGGTTATTCAGCACCCCATCCCACCCGCTACCTCTCGGCTTTAGAGGGGTGCTTCGGTTCCACCTCACTTAACAGTCACAGAGGTTGCACTATGTGCCCCGCTGTGCACTGGGGAACATATTCTCATCTAACAAACCCCCCTTCTAATGCGAGAGGAGACCCACAGACTATCAAGTAAGGGGCACTGCCCATGGGGCTCGACTAGAGAGGCAGACAAGTACCAGAACACTGGGAAAGGTACCATCAGTGCTCAGCGGGGAACTGAGACACATCACAGGGACAGTGACTTGTGCCTTAGGATGGGAAGCATTTCAGGAATTGGGAGAAGGATGCTTTTTAGATTGTTATACAGAGGACAGGAAACAGCTAAAGATATAAAAAAAAAAAGTATCACTGACATGTCTGCTTTTCTGTTCCTAATAAAATCCTCATCTACTAAAAGTCTTTGAAGCTATCATAAAAAATGCCTTGTTATCAATGTCCTCCCTCGCTCTTTGTGGACAAGTACAAATGAAAGCATTGATAATGAGGGTGGTAAACATAAATATCCATTAACTCCTGATTTTTCAATTCTGATAAAATACCAAACACACCACTGACTATTCATGGTTGGGGACATTTGAGCTGCGAGTCGAAAGCCCTTGACTTTGCGTCGCAGTGAGGACGCATCACAGCCATCCAGGTGAGGGAGGGTGGCAGCAGAGACAAACAAGCAGGCGGGTACCAGAGGGAGCCCGGGAAGAGCCACAGCGGGACTCACAATGCAGTTTATGTTCCATCCCTGGTAACCAGAGGAAAGCCCAGGGTTTAAGATTTTTATATACGGCTGGCTGTGAGTCTACTAGCTAGACGGGGCCAAAATGGGCTCCTAGGAGCTGTTACGGCTCTGAGGGGAAACTGCTTTTCCTAGAACATCATGGAATGTGAGCACAGGACACTCAGCTGGTACCACATTCCTGCTGAAGTAAGAGCAAGTATTTGTCATCCTCCTGCATGAAGAAGGTCAATCAACCTGCACGTGGGCTCAAATTCACGGGAATACTCCACCAGGTGACTTGAAAATGGCGTATGACATTGGAAGGTACTTTCACAAAATACTTCACTCTTTAAACATCACCATGTGGTCTATAAGCTCTGAGCACAGGTGTCAGATCTCTTGTCCAGGCGCTGGCAGGGGGCATTTTACGGTAGGGAAGGGAGCCACCGCGGGGAAAGCGCTCAGCTAGCAGTCTCTACTTGCTAGGTCTGTGCTACATTCTGAGAATCGTGGGATGGGACCGGGTAAAGCCCCCAAATCTACCATTACAAGTGGAAAAACAGAGGTTAGTAATTAAAACAACAAAAAATACAAAACACATTATTGTATTTACAACAAGATGAGGCATATAATCACAATCAATGATCCTGCATGCTTGAGTGTTCCTTTCTGTTAACTGAGTCAAGGAAAATGAAAAAGCAAAACTGGAATCCTGTGTAGAGCTATGTATGATGTTTTCTTCTAAGAAGTGTATTGGCTGAACCTACCTCAAAAGTCATTTCAAGGAGGTTTTTGGGGATCTGCATTACTCCCGTGTCTCCCAGCTCTCCTGATACACAGATCCAAGGATTTGAGGTGATAATCGCATTGCTCAGCTTTTTGATGGGGATGATCACGGACCTATATGGAATCACTGGAACAAGAGTGCTGAAATTAATGAAAAAATTACAATAAAGTTCTTCTGATAATAAAACAAATTTACATCAAGAATTCTGAGCTTTCACAGAAAATTTGCTTTTTATGATCTCTCAAGATGTTCTTAAACAAAAGTGAGACCATACCCTCTTCTAATGTAGAGAGATGAGGTCCAGTTTGTAAGCCACAAGTCCCAATACTTGTGTTGGTTTCCATGACATACGCATCACCATGGCATGTGGAGTATCACCGTGGCGACGTATGGCACTAGGTTCATAAACAATCTCAGGCATTAGCACCAGAACTGACTGTGCTATTTAGTATTTTCATTGCATGAATGCTTTCATAAATTTTGTTCCAAAATAAAGTACAGATGAGCACGGTTACTGATATGGTTTAATATAAAAAAGGGGGTGGGTGACTTCTTGACAAAATCCCCTTGTTGCTGATTTTCTTGAGCAAGACTTCAATGCACTGCATTTCAGAACCCAGCACAATTTCACTGCACAGATGCAGAGCCCAGGGTATTACATGATGCCATTCAGGACATAACATAAAATCGACAATTCATAAAGTTACTACAGTTACTCACGAGCAAGAGCTGCCCTGGGGAAAGAATCCAGATGTGTAAAGGGAGCCGCGTGAACCTGATCCCCATGAAGGCTCTTCAACGGGCCACCACTAGATGTCACTGTCCTACCACTGACTTTTCTCCAGCGTGGAAGCCCCATAAAGTTACACAGTACACCTCCCTCCACTCCTCTAAACATGGAGATGGCTCAAGCCCACGAGCACATTTTTATCCAACAGAAACATACTTTTTTCTTTTTTAGAAAAGCAGAGTAGAATCAGTAGTTTTTTGTTGGTATCCTTGGAATTTTTGCTTATTCCCTCACTAGGAGGGATGGGAGTATTCCTTGAAAGATTTACATGTAGGATGACAAACACTTACTGGACAGGGTGCCCAGAAACAGAAACACAAAATGATCCCTTGGTTCAGCGAGCTTAGATGAGGAAAATGAATGGGACAAATGGTTCGTTTCCCTAGTTTTACATAGACGACTTTCTATTATGCTGGGTGAAAAACCTGTCTTTTTATTTTACTGAAGGAAAAGAGAATGTCAGAGGAAAGGTCACACTTTCACGGTTTAGTAATCATCAGGATCAAATGGGTTTTGAGACCAAAAGCAGAAGAGGTTACAGCGCAAGGCTGTTTGAGGGGCCGGGGCTGCTCTCATTTCTTTCATTGATGATTAGAAATAAGCTGCAGAGAAAGGCCTATTTAGGGTCAGCGGTTCTGTGGCGGCAAAGGGCACAAAAATGATTTCATAAAGGTTAAAAAGAGTAATATTATTAAACTCAGAATTCTTCTTTCGTGAAGATCTCAATTCCTCAAACTGAAAGAGTCACTTAGATGAAGAGAAAGCTGCAGATACAGGTAGAACTCAGGAGTCCTGCTGTCTCTGCTGCTATTTCTTCTTTTATTTAATTTAAAAAAATTTTTTATTAAGGTATTATTGATATACACTCTTATGAAGGTTTCACATGAAAAAAACAATGTGGTTATTTCTTCTCTCAAAAGCATGTATAACATGTTAGCCTTACACCTGCAGTGACATCATAAGCTAACAGATAAGTTTACATGCTAACAGACAGTGGACAGACTTCCAGGTTGGCCCAATACCCATTCCAACTCCATTTTCCTTGTCTGCCTCTAGCAGAGACTAGAAAGCCAGAACCAATGCGATGGCCAGGGAAATGTTAGTGATATTTACTGGCATTTCTTGGAAAATTCTGTTTTTCTAGCACTGATTCTGCCCCCTCCTCCTTGGCACTCTTGCTAGAAGGTGGACTGGAAAGAGCCATCTTGTGAGCCTCAGGGGATGGGCATACACCGAAGATGGTCTAGCAGGAGAGGGACAAAGAGCCCGCATCCACGATGGCACCGCAGACTGGCCACCCCGACACTTCTCATTAGGCCAGAAAAGCAAAACGACTGATTTGTTTAAAGCACTGTTTTCCAAGTTTCTGATACTTGCAACTGAACATAATTCCTCACTGATACAAGTAGTAATTCTCCAAAGTAGGGAAGGAACCTGATCAGCGTTTCCTCCCCCTACAGACCCAGCGTCCAGCAATATCCGGAAGTCTTTCTGAACCATCAAACTTCAGTGATGCTCAGTTATGTAAGTCTGTTGTTGTATACGGAGTCTTTGAATTTGTGTGTTTCAGGTATGATATTGGGATATTTGTTTAGGAAAACACTCCCTTTCCCATCCATCCCATTTCCGGTTGTGGAATGGGTTTTTTGGGAAGCAGACTCTCAGCCAGAAACTAGCATGGCAGCCTGTTGCCCCTGGGATCAGCGCCTGGGGAAGAAAGCAGGTTCGGCTGAGAGAGAAGATGGGCTGCGATGCAGCTCATGCCGGGGTGAGGCCTGGGACAGCCTGCGATCAGCCACCGGCCCTGGGAGGAGGATCGCCTGGGCAAAGGCAGGCGGCTTGGGTGAGGCACGCCCAGGGGGGCTGACAGCTGAGGGCTGTCTCCCAGCAGCTGGGGCACAACCTTCCTTCCTAAGTGGAGACGGGGGTGCCTCCCAGCGCCTGTCTCCCTGCACTGCAGTATGTGTCTCACGCGAGCAACACGAGCTGACTGCATTAGTCATCTGAGCGGCCGCACTTAGTCACTGCTGCGGACTCACCGATGGTGGTGAACACGCTGGTGAAGCAGAAGTAGTCCACAGCGTTGAGGGAGAGGAGATGGTACAGAAACTGCTCTCTTTCTTCTTCACAACGCAGGAAAGCGTAGCGCTTATAAAGCTTCCTAGGAGAGGGTGGTGAGATGAGCACACAAGAGTTCGGTACATTTTTCATGCTTTTTACTATGTCTTCTGAACAAACACCTCCACTTAGACAAATTACGGATAGAATTTTAACCTGGAAAGTACAGGCAATTCACAAAAATGGACATAAATACAGTTAATAATACAATTTTAACCTAACTAGTTAATTGAAAAAAAAACCCAATGTATCCATTTTGTCTATCAAACTGATAAAGATTTATAAACTGCTGATCAGTGCTGGGGAGGGGGGAGGGACGCAATGAATAGCTATTCTTTTTTTTTAACTGAAGTATAGTTGATATACAATCTTATATTGGTTTCAAATATACAGCACAGGGGTTCAACATTTACCCACATTATTAAATCCTCACCCCATCTAGTGCAGTTACTATCTGTCAACATAGGAAAATGTTACAGAAACACTGGCTATATTCCCCATGCCGCACTACCATCCCTGTGACTAACTTATGTTATGACTGAGAATTTTTGTGCCTTTTTATCCTCCTCCCCTTCCCCAACCCCTCCCCCATGGTTACCACCAGTCGCTTCTCAGTGTCTATGAGTCTATCGCTGTTTGTGCAATGAATAGTTACTCTTATAGCTGGTGGGACTGAAAATTTCAGGAAAGCAGTTTGTTGGTAATAATTATTTTAACTAGTCATACCCCTTGACTCATTAATTTTACATTAAAGACTCAGTTCTAAGGACATGTGAAATATAGGCAAAAATTTACCCATAAATATCCACTAAAATGTTATCTGTAAAAAGTTAAAATATATCGTGGTATATGCATTGTTTGGGATATTGTATGAGCATTCAAAATAAAGTTTACTAAGAGTTTTAATGATTATAAAACTACTACTAAAAATAAGTAACTATTATTCAGCATTTACATTTAAACACTTCTCTAAGTGTTTTATGAGTCATTATATATTTAATCTTTAACACTACCCTAAGTAAGTCTCTTGGCAGTATCTTATCTAAAGTCATTCAAACAGTAAAGGCAGCTCTGAATACAGGCAGACTTTAGAACTTAAACCCTTCCCTTATGGTACAGTGAAAGGTTTATGATACTGTGTTAAGCTAAAAAAAGGATGATACTGAATTGCAAATATAGTACAATTTTAGCTAAGAGAATATGAGATGCATGGAAGAAAGTACAGAAGAAGACACCTGAAATATTTAATATTTACCTTTATGTAGTAGGATTTCAACTGATGATCATCTCCCTCTTTGTACTTTGGCCATAATGGGCATGAATGTGTGGGGAGGGGGAGGGGTAGCAGTCACGTAAGAGAATGAGGTCAAGCTCACAGGCTTCACACTGCATTCTCTACCAAACCTATTCTTCTTTGGACATTAAGACATCCGAAAATGCTCCATGATGTAAGTGATCCTACAGCGATATGTACAAATGGGAAACTACAAAAAACACTGGGTTACCGTGATGGGATTTCAAGACTGCCATGTTTGAGGTCTCTGCTGAATTCTTTGCATACCTTTGTTCTAGAGAACTCAAAGTCCTCAGCCTTCAAATCTGCTCTAATGTACATATTATCTGGATGATGCATTTCACCCAAGAGAGTTTCTAGATGGAGTAAAGGGAAACTACGAAAACAATTAACAATCAACTAACGTGCACTTGACTGGGTTCCTGGCTCTGGACTACCAACTGTAAGTGCTGGCAAACGCTCAGAAGCCCTTTACTGTGGACTTTTTATTTTTTAAGCCTTTTGCTACTTCAGGTTTTCATTTGATCATTACAGTACGATATAAGTTTACATAAATTCAGCTTATCTTTTGGATGTTACTGTCAACCTGTGTGGACTAGTTAGCTTCCCTTCTGATGGGAGCAGAGCAATCTGGCCTCTGGCTGTGCACATGGGTGTGCCTTCCCAGATATAATCCAGTATTAAGCCAAGACAGAGTCTCTCAAGCACACGTCTGTGAGAAAGGAGGAGCGTGTGGTGCAGAGGAGTCAGCAATTCATGCTGATGAAGCCTGCCGGTCAGCTTACGCAATCTGCTTTGCAGACGCACAGGTCACAGGGACAGAAACAGCTCGAGAGGCTTTCTCTTACTTGGTGAGTGGCTGGTTAGAGAGCAACTGCTTCAGGTGCTGGGACAACAGCTTCTTCTCCAGGGACAATCTTATCCACGCCCGAGCTCGCCCCACGTCAGTCTTGATCTCACTCATGTTCTGGATATGCCTAAAGAACAGGAGCGACAGAAAAGATGTAGATCCCAAGAATGACCTAGAACTGGAAACCAACTAAAAGGGCACTTTGCACGAACACATCTTTCAGACTTTGGGGAAGCAAGGGGTGACACAATTTATGTTGATTAAGCCTTCCAAGTTTCCATCTGAACCAAGAATTTAGTCCCACATCAGAATTACCATTATGACACAGGTGGACGGATAACACCCTAAAATAAGCAGTCCACGTTCATTTACTCTTTCGGGTTTTGGTATGTTCTTGTTTCAGCCGCACAAATACCTGTAAACTGGCACTTGACTATTCTTGACCCTCAGGAAAATGAAGCAATAAAACAGGCTGAATATTCAAGTTTTTATTCAAAATGATTGTTCTACAGTTTAACTAATGATATACCACAACTTTAATGTACTGAATTATTTTTAAGTAGCCCTAGACAACATATGGAAAATATGGGATCTTACTTTCTACCGCATTAGAAGACAAGCTGTAGTTCTATTGTATTGACAAATTCAATTGTGTGGCAACAAAGAGTGTGTGGTCAAACCCCAGCCGAATGCTCTCTCTCTATACATACATAGACAGACAGAGTTCCGTGCAGAAGTCAACACTCTACCCAGGGGCACTGGGTTTCTCTTCCTGAAGGATGTCCCCCCCAAGGCGGAAGGAGGAGTGGGCAGGGAGGGCAGGCCGAAGGACAGAGTCATCACAAAACCACTACAGTGAGTCGCTGAAAGTCTTTGTGATTGGGGCCCACCGTCCCTTCCTTTGATTCTTCTAAGTCCAGAATAACTCATCCTAGCTGTAATAAATACTGCAATGAACCCTTTCCTCCGATGATTCTAAGCATTCAGAATAAGGGATACCCTTCTTGCAAAATATTCATTTTCTTTCTTTTTTCCATCCTCTCCCCCTTTCTCCTTCCTGTCCTCTCTCAATCCCTCCATCTCAAGACTTAGGCCCTCAGTGTTGATATATGATCACTCTTGGTAAACAAGACATAAAGTGTATCACATCATAAAGACACACTAATGAAGTGGCTTACAAACATGTCCAAATGAGAAGTCAGAATATTTTGTTGCCGTTTTTGTAGGCTGAGCCAACCTCACCGCACCTCTAAGGATTTTTTTCAGAATTTATGGCAGACTTATTTTATCTTGACAGGGCTAATACCATTACACACAGCCATGTGTGGAGAGAGCCGGGGTCAGGCAGCCCCCTCTAAGACCGTGGCTCTTACTGGCGGTGGTGGCAGTGGGGGGGGTGGGCACCTGACAGTCCAAGCAGGCACCTCCAGTCTGAGCCTGAGAAACAGCACCGGTGCTCCTGCAGCCTGCTGATGTCTCCTGCTGATGACACAGCTGACTCAGAGCAACAAGGGGAAAGCGCACAGGAATTACCGGTTAAAGTCCCACAGTACTGACAGGTGCCGCTGTGGTACAGAGCCAGTCAGAGCTCCTGTGATTCTGGAACGAATCCCAAGCTGATTCAAAGTGCATCCACTGAAAATGAATCTGTGTTGGGTCTGGAAAGCACTCATGTTGTACAGACTTTCGTAAGTGTTCTCTCTAATCTAAAGCAGTACAATCTTCTGAAATTAGTTTTATGTTGGTCTTAAATATCTGGCAATATGGTAGATGGAGAATGACAAAGTAGGAGATAATTATAATTTGAAAAAAAGTCTGTGTTTGAGGAAAATGGGAAGGGCTGGAATAGAGTGAAACGTGTTTTAGGTAGGAATCAGCAGCCGCATCATGAAAGTGTTCACGCTGGATTCTTTTGGAGGGAGGCATGGGAGGCAGGAGATGGGGCCCCAGACTCACCTCCTCAAGCCCATCGTCGCCACTGCTACCAGGGAACTCACTCTGACTAAATGGCTGCCTCCTTAGTGTGACTTTGTTCCAGAACCTTCAGGCTCATGGGATACAGCCTGAATCGCTCAGTCACCTATTCAAGGTTTATTGACTACCCTTCAGTCTCAACTTATCTTCCTGTTAAACAGAACTGCCTTCCAGGCAGCTGACTCACTGCACATTCCACTACCTACAGGACCCCGCCTCTAGCTCCCCTATCCCATGTACGTGTGTGGGACTCCGGGTCCTCCTCGTGAGCTCGCCACGACCAGGACAGCCTTCAGCGGCCCCTCCGGTTCATGAGATTCTGCGGCCGAATCTGCATTTCACTGCGCCGCCGCCTATCGCTTTCACCCTCTGAACTTGGTCCGCATTTTTCCCGGTCTGACAAAAGCTCCCTGAGAACAAGGACCCCAGTATCCTGAGCGGCCTTATACCCTTCTTGGCGCCCAACGGCGTCCAGCGCATATCAGCAGCTTGAAAAACTGTTGTTTTTGTAAACCTAGATCTGACTTTGTGCCTTAATTTATGTTTTGTTATTAAACTTTAATCCAAATGTATTTTAAGAATCTGTGTGCAGTTATACCATCTGAATGTTTTTAATTGAAATGATTTATTATGGATGATTATAATGGCATTCAGTGTAATACTATACAAGCATTCATTCCAAAACAGATCCTGTTAATTAACAGAAAAGCATATGGGTTGGGTTTAAATACCTTACTTGTTTCTAACTCTAGTATAAAGCTTTCTAATTTAGGAAAGTTTTTACATATTTCATTTCATCTGATCATCACAATAACCAGTGATAGGAAGACCATCATCATTTCACTTTAAAGAAGAGAAAAAAGAGTGAGACGCAGGCCTAAGCGACCCAGCCAGCATCAGAGACAGTAAATGTGACTCCAGAGATGCCACCCGTTTTCTACCAATCAGTCACCTCTTCCCGGCACTCACAGTCCTCGGGAAGCTCCCCCTGTACAGACCCAGAAGACCCACTCCGGGTACCAGGATGGCCCCGCCTTCCTAACCCCTCAGACAGACTGGCCTGGGTAGCAGGGTGTGCCTGATCTAAGCTGCGCCCATCAGACTTGGTCTCAGAGACTGGAGACTGGCGCTCTGGAAACCAAGTTAGTTTCTGTTCAATGCTAAAACTGACAAAAGATGCCCATCTTTCTTGGGTTGAGGGCTTGGGGGGCAAGTGCACAAGAAAGCAGAAAGGAGGGGAAAGGAAGGGAGGGGAGGAGAACGAGGTGCGAAGGGAGCCGCAGGGCAGACGTGCTTCTAGTGAGACGGTGAGAGTAAATTCCCCTTTCTACGTAAGTCAGTTTGATTGGTCTTCTGTTCCCTAAAACCAAATGATTTCTACAAGTGGCAGCAGCTAAATAGGACCACATTTCCTATGTTCAAAACTGTTGCTTATTTCACTGAATCACCAATGAAGCCCGATAATATTTATTAGAGAAATTATGGAATAGCCAGTTTTAGTTTAAGCTTGTATTCTGTACAGTCATAAAAATTCCTCAAATAATCCTTTCTAGGGGTAACAAAATCAATCATGGCCATTCAGGTTTAGTGTAGAATAAAGCCGGTGGCTCACAAGCATATGTACACTCTTTTAAAAAGGTACAGGGACTAGCCAATTCACTCTCAACTAATTTATTCCCATCTTTATATATAAACAGAACGTTTCTAGGATTTACTCAGATATCCCGTTCATTCACTTACATATTCAGAGTACCTGTATTTGGATTATAGTACTCACAATCTGCTAGGTCATGTAATGTTCTACCATGCCCTTATCACTAATGCTATTTTGTCATTGAGAATAAAAGTCTGTTTGAATAGTTGGGTGATATGTGAATGGCTACTCTGGAAAGAAACTGGTAATAATGGTAACACCATGTAACACAGCTGACAGTTAAATAACATGGGTTTGAACTGCACAGGCTCACTTACACGCAGATTTTTTCAATAAAAGCATTGTAAAACTTTTGGAGACTTGTGACAATTTGAAGAAACATTTTCTCCAGCTTGCTGTGTTGTAGGAAATAATATATACATTATAAGAAATGCATATATAATAAATATACAAAATACATGTTGACCGACTATGTTATTGGTAAGACTAGTAAGGTCAACAGCAGGCTGTTAAGTTTTTGGAGGGTCAAAAGTTATATGCAGATTTTCAACGATACAGGGAGGGAAGGCTGTGCCCTCAAACTCTGAGGTATTCAAGGGTCAACTGTACTCCTCTTTTACACGTGGATAATCCAGACAATTATTTATTGTCCCCGGCTTTTCTCTTTGGAGCAAAAAAAAAAAAATCATTCTATAGCTGACAGTTTGGTGATACGTGGCATTTGTGAAGGTCTTGGGGAGTCATTTGCAGTAGTAAGACAAAGGGGATACAGCTTGGAGACGTGTCTGTCCAGGACCCTTGCCAGCTCGTAAGCAATCTGGCGCCAAGACATTTGGCAACCGTGAGTACTCAAAGTCCCTAAATTGCCAGTGTTTTGCCCCTAGAGATAAACGTGGGAAGACAGGAGGTACCAACACAGACAGGTGCCCACCGGAGAGCCTGCACACAGGGAGGTGTGCTACCTCATCTTCAGAAAACGAGCTTTTTCTTTAATTGCCCAGATTGAAAGAAATCCAAACTCAGAATATCACTCGGGTTATTTTTCCTTATGGGAACCCACGCACGTGACTATCGAGGTGGCGATTAGGGATGGCGATGAAGCCAAGAACTTGGAAACAGGCAAAGAAGCCTGTCCACGGAGAATTAAACTCTAAAATAAACATATCAGGAATAAGAACAGCCTATATATAAACAGCCATCTTATATACAGGGGCAGAATGGAAGCAGAGAAAAGGGAGAGAGAACCCTGGGCGGCGTTTCTCCTGGGCTTCCGAGGTGCCCCAGCCCACGAGCATGGGGCCGCCAGCCCAGAGCTGGCGATCAGGCCGCCACGTCTCTGCCGGTCACGGGAGCAAACAGCCTCCAGTGTTACTCCAGCTTCCAGGCAGCGCAGACTCCCATCAGGGAGACAGTACTGAGTCATCTGGTTAGGGAAGTAATAAAAAAAACCCAGCTTCCTGTGACCCCGGCCAAAGGCGATTAGACCCGAGTGGGCAGAT